TATATATACATTTATATTTATTACAGTAATTAATATCATGGTAATGAGAACTGGGGTGGAGATGCCATCATAAACATAGACTTTTCTTGAAGCACAGTATAATTTCTTATTTTTTATAATATTGCAGATTAAATAATAAGGTGTGAAGCGTCGGTTGTGTTTGTGTTATCAGTCGTGCTTCTCTCTCTGATCTCCATTAACCTGATGAGATCTCACACACCAGCATCGGCCCGCTGCCGTCACTGATTGATCTGGACGGCCCTCCGCTTACCGGGAACCATAAACACTCTTACAATTCACAAGTCAGCCATTCATCCCCAATACATGGACATCCTGCCTCACACTGCTGTTCAAATACAACCACTAAACATACTAAATACAACTAACATGCTAGGAATCATGCATGAAAGCAAAGCATTGTGCTTCATCTTTAGGAGACGTCAGATCTGATGGACAGCCATGGATTCTGATACATAAGCCTCTTTTTTCAGTTTATCATTTTCCTTGTAGAGGCTTTTAAAATGCTACCTGTTGTCAGTAATTATGAATAATTATTATTTTCTGCAGAATTCTTTTTCAGCCTTTAGGGCACTTTGAAAGTGTGATTGCCAAATGTTATATTATATTGTATTTATAATTTTGGATATTACATTTTATATTCTATTTTTTATATATCTTATATTATGTATTACATTTTCAGTCTATAAACATGTATTTTTTTATAGCAAAAAAAACCCCTATAAAATATATGTTTTTGCAAATGTAATGCATTTTTATACAAAATGCATTTTTATAATATATAATAATGTGTGTGTGTGCGCACGTTTGTGTGTGTGTGTGTGTTTGTAGTAATTCAGCCCTTAGGCTGTTCCAAAATTCTAATTGACAAATTTTGGATGAATTTTGGAAAGTCTTTTTTCTTATATTATATTTTATTTTGCATTTTTATATTATATTTTGTATACATCTTATATAGAACAGTACATACCTTACATTATATATTACATTTTTGCAGACTATGAACATGTATTTTCCTTGCTTTTTATTACAAAACAAATCTTTAAAATATATACAACAGTACTATTATTGCGAATATATTTGAATACTTTTTTATACAAAATACTTTTTTATATAACAATTACTATTATGTATGTATGCATGTATTTATTTATTCATTTATTTATTGTAGTAATTCTGCCCTTAGGCCATTTTTTAAAGTGTAGTTGACCAATTTTGAATGAATTTTGGAAAGTCATTTATCTTATATTATATTTTATTTTACATTTTTAGATTATATTTTGTGTGTATTTTACATTATATATTACATTTGCAGTCTATAAACATGTATTTTCCCTAGCTTTTTATTACAAAAAAATCTATAAAATATACACAACAATATGCAATTTTGTAAGTATTCTATATTTTAATACATTTTTATACAAAATGTATTTTTATATAATAATCGTATATAATGTCTATGTGTTGATTGATTGATTGATTGATTGATTGATGAAATCCGGCCCCGTATCTGTTGACTGTGTATTACTTGAAGAAGAATCTGCAAATATTGAATTATGTACCTGTTTTATTTAATTTACAGCATTTAATGCTTTTTCGTGGGTTTTTTTATGAGTTCATTGATTTTTTGACCCTGTATATGACTAATAAATACATTTTTGGATAATCAGTCCCTAATATTAATGCAATATTAATGGTTTACTATTTGCAACACAACATCAGACGTTCCATACGGAGGCATGTCGGTTCCGCTGAGTCCTCAGTGTTTCCTGTTCCTGTGGTGTGTGTCATGTGACTGTGTGTGTTTTCCAGCTGGATGCGGAGGCCAGCGATCTGCTGAAAGAGCTGCAGAATAAACTCAATACGGTGCTGGATGAGCTCAGCGGCGTCTTCGGCTCCAGGTGACTTATGTATGAGGGAATCATGGGTAAAGCAAGCTGACCCTGGAGCACAAAACCAGTCATAAGGGTCAATTTTTCAAAGTTGATATTTATACATCATCTGAAAGCTGAATAAATAGCTTTCCATTGATGTATGGTTTGTTAGGATAGGACAATATTTGGCTGAGACTTTTCTTGAAGCACAGTATAATTTCTTATTTTTTATAATATTGCAGATTAAATAATAAGGTGTGAAGCGTCGGTTGTGTTTGTGTTATCAGTCGTGCTTCTCTCTCTGATCTCCATTAACCTGATGAGATCTCACACACCAGCATCGGCCCGCTGCCGTCACTGATTGATCTGGACGGCCCTCCGCTTACCGGGAACCATAAACACTCTTACAATTCACAAGTCAGCCATTCATCCCCAATACATGGACATCCTGCCTCACACTGCTGTTCAAATACAACCACTAAACATACTAAATACAACTAACATGCTAGGAATCATGCATGAAAGCAAAGCATTGTGCTTCATCTTTAGGAGACGTCAGATCTGATGGACAGCCATGGATTCTGATACATAAGCCTCTTTTTTCAGTTTATCATTTTCCTTGTAGAGGCTTTTAAAATGCTACCTGTTGTCAGTAATTATGAATAATTATTATTTTCTGCAGAATTCTTTTTCAGCCCTTAGGGCACTTTGAAAGTGTGATTGCCAAATGTTATATTATATTGTATTTATAATTTTGGATATTACATTTTATATTCTATTTTTTATATATCTTATATTATGTATTACATTTTCAGTCAGTCTATATGTATTTTTTTATAGCAAAAAAAACCCCTATAAAATATATGTTTTTGCAAATGTAATGCATTTTTATACAAAATGCGTTTTTATAATATATAATAATGTGTGTGTGTGCGCACGTTTGTGTGTGTGTGTGTTTGTAGTAATTCAGCCCTTAGGCTGTTCCAAAATTCTAATTGACAAATTTTGGATGAATTTTGGAAAGTCTTTTTTCTTATATTATATTTTATTTTGCATTTTTATATTATATTTTGTATACATCTTATATAGAACAGTACATACCTTACATTATATATTACATTTTTGCAGACTATGAACATGTATTTTCCTTGCTTTTTATTACAAAACAAATCTTTAAAATATATACAACAGTACTATTATTGCGAATATATTTGAATACTTTTTTATACAAAATACTTTTTTATATAACAATTACTATTATGTATGTATGTATGTATGTATGAATGTATTTATTTATTCATTTATTTATTGTAGTAATTCTGCCTGTAGGTAATTTTTTAAAGTGTAGTTGACAAATTTTTAATGAATTTTGGAAAGTCATTTATCATATATTATATTTTATTTTACATTTTTAGATTATATTTTGTGTATATTTTACATTATATATTACATTTGCAGTCTATAAACATGTATTTTCCCTAGCTTTTTATTACAAAAAAATCTATAAAATATACACAACAATATGCAATTTTGTAAGTATTCTATATTTTAATACATTTTTATACAAAATGTATTTTTATATAATAATCGTATATAATGTCTATGTGTTGATTGATTGATTGATTGATTGATTGATGAAATCCGGCCCCGTATCTGTTGACTGTGTATTACTTGAAGAAGAATCTGCAAATATTGAATTATGTACCTGTTTTATTTAATTTACAGCATTTAATGCTTTTTCGTGGGTTTTTTTATGAGTTCATTGATTTTTTGACCCTGTATATGACTAATAAATACATTTTTGGATAATCAGTCCCTAATATTAATGCAATATTAATGGTTTACTATTTGCAACACAACATCAGACGTTCCATACGGAGGCATGTCGGTTCCGCTGAGTCCTCAGTGTTTCCTGTTCCTGTGGTGTGTGTCATGTGACTGTGTGTGTTTTCCAGCTGGATGCGGAGGCCAGCGATCTGCTGAAAGAGCTGCAGAATAAACTCAATACGGTGCTGGATGAGCTCAGCGGCGTCTTCGGCTCCAGGTGACTTATGTATGAGGGAATCATGGGTAAAGCAAGCTGACCCTGGAGCACAAAACCAGTCATAAGGGTCAATTTTTCAAAGTTGATATTTATACATCATCTGAAAGCTGAATAAATAGCTTTCCATTGATGTATGGTTTGTTAGGATAGGACAATATTTGGCTGAGATACAACTATTTGAAAATCTGGAATCTGAGGGTGCAAAAAAATCTAAATATTGAGAAAATCATCTTTAAAGTTGTTCAAATTAAGTTCTTAGCAATGCATATCACTAATCAAAAATTAAGTTTTGATATATTTACAGTAGGACATTTACAAAATATCTTCATGGAACATGATCTTTACTTAATATCCTACTGATTTTTGGCATAAAAGAAAAATCTATCATTTTGACCCATACAATGTATTTTTGGCTATTGCTACAAATATACCCCAGCGACTTAAGACTGTTTTTGTGCTCCTGGGTCACATATACTGTATTATTGATTCACTTTGATTATGTCAGCAGAGGGAAAGAAAGTTAACACATTTAGATGAAAACAAGGAAATAAAGCATGTGCGCTGGTGAATCATTAAGACCTGCGATTTATGAAGTAAATAGGATCCATTTTCCAGTCATTTCAGATTAGCTTGAATGTCACAGTTTTCATTTTTTTTTCTAGTTTATTTATTTTATTTTATATTTTATTTTATTAGAATCAGAATCAGAAAGAGCTTTATTAGCAAGTGTGCTTAAACACACAAGGGATTTTTAATATTTAACAAAATAAACAAGTGATTAAAAATAAATACGAGAAATAAATTAAAATAAAATAAAATTTTTATTGAGGACATATATTTTATTTGATAGTTAAAATAATAAAAATCACTGTTTTATATGTATGTATTTAATACAATAAAATATTTGTATTGATTAGAATTTATGAAATAAAATAGAAAATAATTTTCATGGAGGAAATCCTTTTCATATTTTATTTATAGTTCTAATATATTTAACGAAGGTCTTATATATTTTACTGTATAGCTAACATAAAATACACCTGCAACATTTATGGAGGAAGTATATAGATCCATTTTGCATTAAATTCATGCCTTCTGTGATTAGAAAACAGAGACAAATAGATGAGCTTGAATGATAAAAATCATAGTTTTCTTTTCTTTTCTTTTCTTTTATGTTATTTTATTAAATAAAAATATTTTATAGAGTACTTATATATTTTATTTTATGGTTATATCGACATACAGGTGAGCTCGAATGATGAAAACGTGTTCTTCATTCTTAAATGAATGCTAGTATGGATGTAGTTTTTAGGTTTACCATGTCTGTGCAGTTTCAAGCCGGTCATTGAGGACTGTGTCAAACAAATGAACCAGGAGCTGATGCAGATGAAGGGAAGCACAGGGAACAAGAGTAACGCAGCCATGGACGCAGAGACCGTCCTGAGACCCCTCATGGACCTGCTGGACAAGAAGTGAGGAAACCCACAGCTACATCTGTTGAAGCACCAGTTGTGTTTCTTTCTTTCACTCAGTCCCTCTTTTTTCTCTCCAGCCTAATTCTGTTTGCCAAGATCTGTGAGAAGACAGTTCTCAAACGGGTCCTTAAGGAGCTGTGGAAGATAGTGCTCAACACTATCGAACAACAGATTGTTCTTCCACCTCTCTCAGACCAGACAGTGAGTGTAACACGTCTGTCTCTGACACACACACACACACACACACACACACACGCACACACACACACTCACACACACTCGCACACGCACACGCACACGCACTCGCACACACACTCACACACTCACACACACACACACACACACTCACACTCACA